TCCAGCTCGTTCAGGACTCTGGCTTCCTCCTCCTCGTTCTCATCCTCTTGCTCATCGTCGCTCCCCGTGAGCATTGTGAAGTTCCTCGTCTCGTCCTCCTCCTCCTCCTTCTCCTCCTCCTCCTGTGCTGCTTGTGCCATCTTGGCTGCCGTGACCTCCGCCTCCGCCAAGACCTTGCGCTCCAGCGCTTCCTTTAAGCGCTGCTCGTAGGTCTTCACTTCTGCTCGGAGAGCAGAGACCCTGTCCGACTCGGTCTGCACCTCAGCAACGAGCTTGGATTTATGCGCCTTGCACCGGTCAGCCTCTTCTTTCAGCTTCCTGACCTGCGCCTGGTGGCTCTGCTTCTTGCGATCGTCCTTGCGACAGTTCTGTCGAAGAGCATTTACCTCTTCTTTGTCAGGTGTAATAGTATTGTGCATAGCTTGCAACCGACAATGATAGTTTGCGATTTGCTTCGCGGTGCTCGTGTGAAAGCTTACCGATTCCTGTTCTGTGCTCTGTCTCCTTCTCATTGCAAGGTCTCTCTCCTTCCTTGCATTCAAGATCTGCTGTCGCAGCCTGCTCGCCTCGGAGGCCAAATCCTCCAAGCGATCCTCGTCACGCGAAGATTTTGAAGGGCTTGGCTTCTTGTCAACCTCTGGTGTGAGTGTGCCGGCCGGCGGGGCTTCTCCTGTTAGCGCCCGCAGCCGATGCAGCAGCTTTTGTTGAAGCTCAACTCCAGCCACCATGACTTCCTACTCTTGCCTCTGATGAGTCAAAAGTGCTGCGCAACCACGATGCCTCAGCCAACAAGCCAACCGTCACTAAACCGTGAGACACGCAAAAATGATCCGAGCAGTTGGCCCATGAGGTCATCTGAGATGGGCATCTTCAGGGTGTCGCCGGTGAACTCGATGTGGCAATCCCTGGGCACAGACATTCCGGGTGGAGGCATCGGAAGCTGACAACACCGCGCCGTCAGAGGAGTGCAAAAGAAAGGCATGTGTGCTGATCGTGACAAGAAGTGTAAGCGGAGGTCTGACGTAGCTCCTGCCGCAAGAACTCCTAACCCATAGCCTGCGAGCCCACGAGCCAGACGGGCCTGTTATCGATGTTGCTGGTTCCCTCGAAGACCTGCACGATCGCCTGTTGCAGCTGGGGAGCTAAAGACATGGGCCGTAACCTCTAGGTCCTACAACCCGCAACCAGCCTGGCAGCCTGGACCCCCTCAACCTGATCTGAATAGCTTCAATCTTGAAGGGATGAGCAGAGTTCTCGAGCAGATGAAGCCGGAAATAACACGCTTGGAACTACATTGTTATTGCTCCTGTCCGTCGTCCGTCGTCAAATTTGGTAGCTGCAGCTGCAGCTGTAGCAGTAGCAGCAGCAGTCGTGGCAGCAGAGAAGCAGTAGCAGTAGCAGTAGCAGTAGCAGTAGCGACAGCAGCCGCAGTAGCAGAAGCAGTAGCAGTAGCAATAGGACAAGTGTCGTCGTCGTGGTAGCAGTAGTGGCAGTAGCTGTAGCAGTAGCAGTAGCAGTAGCAGTAGCAGTAGCAGCAGTAGCAGTGGCAGTGGCAGTGGCAGTGGCAGTGGCAGCGGCAGTAGCAGTAGCAGTAGCAGTAGCAGTAGCAGTAGTAGTAGTAGTAGTCGTAGTAGTA